GTGACGCCCACAAGGGGCCCCGACGTGAAAACTTGTTCTGCAATACCGCTGCCCCAGGATGCCTCTCAACCTCTTGAGTCGGGCGACCCTCTGCTTGAAAGCGTTGCACCTACCAGAAAATTTGCGGTCGCGCCCAGCTTGCCGTCGTGGCCGACCAGCAGTGTCATCAACTCCTAGATTCACAGCAGAAGATATACATGAGGGTCCTCCCACATGCTCCAACAGTGACCTGATCTTGTTGCCGACAGCCTGGTCAGAACAGATCACAGACGCCTTATCTTCAGAAACAACCACCTGCATATCGTCCGACAATACGGAATCCAGTTGAGTGGCCCCCGTTACAATGTCATCGACGACTGATCTGGCCGACCCCGTCGCTTGCAATCCGTAATCATCGATGTAGATATCGAGGGCATCGCGGACTCTCTGCGGCAGCAGGTCGATCGTGGGAATGGCATAGACCCTCACGAAAGTAGTGGCAAAGGAATCTCCCGCAATAACTCCTTGCCAGGCGAAAAAAAAGGACCCTTCACGATCCCGCTGATGTTGATGAACCTTGGGCCTCTATAGGCCGCCATGCAGAGTCGTGAAATAGGAGAAGGGAATCCTAAGTCGTCACACCTCTGCTGTAGAATGTCGAGCCTAATAGACTCGTAAAACTTGTGGAGGTCCCATAACACAGAGCACGCAACACCCTTCTTTCCCTTCCTGCTAGTCGCATGTTCCGAACGCACAGCTTGCCTCCAAACAACATCCCCAGCCCCAGTGAAAGCTCCCGCACTGAGGTACGATTTATTGAACCTGGCCTCCCATTGGACTGCGCACGGTCTCCTCATCCTGCCCCATAACCGATATGCTGAGCTAAGCAATCCGATGGGTCTCCAACCTCCAGCAGGCTTGGGCAGAAGCGCAACCACGATGGCACGCAGGTGGTTGGGCAAGAGGACGCTTCCATCATGCTGATAATATCATTAACGCCACCAGCGCACCATCACAGAGCGAGGCATAGTGGCGCATATGGAAGCCGTCGACACTGGTGGCCGTGCGAGTGGGGTACGACATGGCAACTTCTCTCAACAAGTCTGGCGACTCGAAGGGGAGCGGATCCTGGTACTCGATGGGCTCTTGCTTGGGGGGCTCCACCGTGGCCTTCCATAACCCACTGAAACGAGCAGCCTCCGAATGAAGAAGAGCTTGGGGATCAGATAAAACAACGCCCTTAGCCGAAAGAGTAGAACATGGGGTCCAGGGGGCGACTTCCCCGGTCCACCAGTGGGCTCTTCGGGCACCTTTCGAAACACCTCCCAGGATCCAAGACTTCCAAGACTTGTTCGCCACATCGCGCTGCTTAATGGAAAACTCACCCAGGAACTCCGAAACCTCGTCCAGGATGCTAGCACCATCAACAATCAAACCTTCTAAAACTTCGGCCCCAAGAGGATCATCGCGAGGAATGCAACCAGTTGAACTGTCGCCCTTGGTCGAGTTGAACAGGTTGCTTTTCCCGCGGCAAGAGGGAGGATTAGACCTCATACATCGTTGAGCGAAATGTTGTACCTTATCCCAGCTGCCCTGGCAGACCCCCATGCTGTCGGCTATGATGTCGGGGGGGCGGAGGAGGAAGTTGCCAGAGTCGAGGGCCGAGCCCTTCACGTCGCAGCCGAGGTTCGAACGGAAAATGCGCAGGGTGCTCTCCAAACATCGAACTCCGTACAAATCAGGCTGACGAGAAGTGCGCCTATCCTTATCCAAAACAGAGCGCCATGCAAGCCTGGGCAACCTGCCACGGGTGCCTAAAACAGGAAGTGCACACTGTCGATCAGCGACCAACTCTCTCTCCGCTGTGTTAGCCCAAAGCTTATATAACATATTAAGATGACGCTGCAAACACTGTCTGGGGACACGGTTGCGAACCAACCCCAAACCATAAGACGCACAGTCTAAGACATCCTTCCAGTCTTGAGGGGCAGGGGCAGGGCCAATAGGGGGCTCGATCGGGATGGGGGGAGGGCTAACAAACCCCAAAGCCTGCAAACTGGCCAGTTGAGGGAAGAAGCTCAACTGCACGGGCTTGTGCGGCTTGGTGGCCGCCTCCAAGCAGACACGGGTGGCCTTCACGGCCTGCGAGAGCCCGCTGGAAACCAGGAAATAGTCGAGCATGCGGACTCCTTCCTTGCTCGTGCCCGTGCAGGTGCCCTTGGATTCAGGCACGACCAGGTTGGCACTGAGCACCGAGACCAAATCACATGAAGCCAGAACGTCAGGCTCCATCTGGAAGTCCGCACCCAAGATGAACGGCCCAAGAAACGAGGATAATTCAGCACCAAGCTTGCACAAAATACCCAGATTGGACTCGGAGAGGCCCTCGGAGTCCCTGAGATACGCGGAGACCACAAGGATAGAGACTCCGCCTGGGATCTGAACAATAGCTGAGGCAGCACGATGAGGAACCAGAGTGGGGCCCACCTTAGCCGAGACGTCATGACAACCCAAGAAGTCCCTGACGAAGATGCCCACGCCTCCAGAGGTCCCGAGCCCAATACCTGGGGCCGCTGGGACGATCCTGGACTTCCAGCCTGAGCGGAGGCCCCACTGAGAGGCCTCGCCAACCTGGTCACCCAGAAGATGAAGTTCTTGAACAAGTACAACATGAGCCGTCGTACGACTCAACCACGCTTTCGCCGCATTCCACCCAGTGCAATTTGCTGTCTCCACGACCAATTCAAAACTGTCGAGATCCGAGCAAGCTGGGGCCCAGAGACAACTGCCAAAATTCAAGGACGGAGCCTTGGGGGCGGGAACACGGCACAGCCTGGCGATAGCAGGTGAAAGTGCAAAAAGTTACCCCCCGACACGCTGCTCACGTGAGCATCAGGCGTCGGGGGGGGGTTGTTTGGGAAGGCGGCTCAGGCGGCTTCCTGTTGGCGAGCAGTTCCTGCGCAAGCTGTCGAACATCGGTGCGGTGGCGCATCAGCCTCGTGAGCTCCCCCGTGGGCGCCTGCAGAGCTGCTGGCTGCACCTCCGGCCCCGCTGGCGGCGTCCTCTTGAACACCAGTTGCTGCATCTCCAAGTTCATGTGGTGGCCGAGCTCCAGCGGGGCTGTTGCCACGTGCGACCTTCTCGGCGGGCTGGACGGAAGTCTCTTCAGGCTTCCGCTTGTGTAGCTTGGACATGTGCTGGCGGTGGGAGGCTTTGATCTGGTCCACAGACTGCTGAACCTTCTCAAACAACTGCTTCGTGATGGCGACCACACTCTGCTCCAGCTCGCGCTTCCTGGCCTCGAACTGGTTGTGGTCGTCGGCGGATAACTCGTACTCCTTAGCGTCGAGGCCAAGGATGCCTTCTCCGTAGTCAATGGTGAGGGCCCCTTCCTTGCCGTCGAGGATGTCACGAAGGCAGAGCTTACCAACAGACCGAGGAGGATCAGGGTGCACCACATGATGAAGCCGCTCGACCAAGGCTTTATGCTCCTTGTCGGCCGCGGACAGCTCAGCCGTGAGCTTGGCCATAGCTTCTTCGCATTCATACACCCACTTCTTCGCCCTGGCGACATCGTCGATCTCCTTTTTGAGGCGGCGCTCGATGGAATGAACTCGCTGGCGCGCCTCTTCTGCTTGCTTTTCCAGGGGCTTGGGTGGGGTCTCCTTGGCCTTCTTAGCTGCAAGCCACACCTTATACTGAGAAGCTGCAACTGAATCACCGAACTTCTCAGCCAAAGCGAGCAACTGCTTGACATCGTCTTGAGTCGCTGTGTCAGGGACCGTGACGGCGGCTGGCGACAGGTGCGGAGGGCCCCGCTGCCAGCTCCCACGAGGCGCAGGTACTTCGCGCACAGCCACATCGACACGTTCACGCTTGCAGTGCTTACAAAACCACCACTTAGCAAGATTTTTTCCACATCCACAATCCTCGTAGCTGCACTTCCACATCGCCTGGCGACCGCCCCCGCGATGCTGAGCGTCCGCTCCGTCGCCTCCTGCGGCGAAACGAACACGCTTGGCCAACGGGCGCTCCTCCCAAGGCAGGGCCTTCGGCGGAGGCACCATTGCGGCTGCTGGAAGTGGCAGGACGTGGAGGAGGAGGAGGAGGAGGAGGCGGAGGAGGCGGAGGAGGAGGAGGGGGGGGTGATGCAGGCTTCTCAAGACCTTCTCCCACGGGGAGGCTCCTGCCGAGCCGTCACTTCTTGGCGCGGGCCCCCCGAGGCCGAGAGAACGCGGACAAAAATCCCGCGGTGAGCTTCTCGAGACGTTCGAGGCCCGGCTGGGCCTCCGACCCCCCCGAGGACGGTCGCCGACCAGCCCCACGACCGCCGCGAAACCGGCCCCAGCGCCCCTGGGGGAAGTCAGATGCTCGTCATCGCTCGGACGTCCACGCCCTGTGCCTTTTGTCGGTTTGGTGCGCGGTTTTTTCGCCGAGTACCAGGGATGCTCCTCGATGGTCCTCGCCGAAGGAGAACTGCACACGTCCGAGCGATGCCAAGGATGGGGCGGGCCTTCTCGGGAGGCTCGGCGGCCCCCCCGGCCTTCTCGGGAGTGCTCTCCGAGCCTTCCCCCGAGGAGCAGCGGGCTTCTCAGGAGGTCGGAAGGCATCTGAGCAGCCCCGCCGCCTCTCGAGAAGGCCTGCCCCCCCTCTCGATTCCCTCCTGTGATTCGCAACGAAGCGACTCCCAACCCTGTGAACGGGGATTTAAATCAGGAAGTCATGCTCCTCCTCCTCCTCCTCCTCCTCCTCCTCCTCCTCCTCCTCCTCCTCCTCCTCCTCCTCCTCCTCCTCCTCCTCCCTCTCCTCCGCTTCTTCCTCCTTACCCGCGTGTTCCCGGAAGGGTTTCCACAACGGCTGGGGTAACACGTGGCCCGATAGCTTGGCAGAGATCTGGCCACAACGTTCGGCCACATGGGCGATTCCCAAAGGCAGCGGGAGGCACTGATTCGCCGCAGGCGTCTTCGATAACATGCCTGGCATCTTCTTTAACTTCACCTGAAGCGAGCTCCACCCCTGGCCTCGTCCGCGGCCTTCTGCTCGGTAGCATTCTCGGCCTTCTCCTCCGCGACCGCCGGCCGCTCGACGTCCTGCTCTCGGGGGATCACGACCGCGGCTCGAGGCAGGAGTCCGAGGAAGTCCCGCAGCTGCGGGGCCTCGACATCGGCTGCACCCCAGGCATGCCACGCCTTGAAGAATCCGAACCGCTTTTGCTCGTAAAGTTCGGCCCCTGGAGGCCCTTCACTACCGGGCCACGGGGCCGTCAAAACACCGACTCAGGGGGCAAAGCCAAACCCAGGGGAGGGGGTCGGGACTTCGCGGGGCCGCGCCAGGACCAAAACGGAGGCCTCGCAGGTCTGGGCGAGAAGGAGGAGGGGGAGGAGCAGACGGGTCCTGGGGGAAACAGGAGGAGGAGGAGAAGGAGGAGAAAGAGGAGGAGGAGGAGGAGGAGGAGGAAGAGGAGGAGGAGGAGGAGGAGGAGGAGGAATTGACGAGGAGAGGAGGAGGAGGAGAAGGAGAATGAAGAGGAGGGGAGATGACGGGTCCTGGGGGAAGAGGAGGAGGAGGAGGAGGAGGATGATAGGAGGAGGAGGAGGAGGAAGAGGAGGGGAGGAGGAGGAGGAGGAGGAGGAGGAGGAGGAGGAGGTGGAGGTGGAAGAGAAGGAGGAGAAGGAGGATGAGGAGGAGGAGGAGGAGTAGGGAGAAAAACGAGAGAGAGAATGAGGAGGTGGAGGAGGAGGGCAAGCAGGAGAGAGAGGACGGAGGAGGAGGAGGAGGAGGAGGAGGTAGGAGGAGGAGGAGGAGGAGGAGGAGGAGGAGGAGGAGGAGAGAGGAAGAGGAGAGGGAGGAGGAGGAGGAGGAGGAGGAGGAGGAGGAGGAGGAGGAGGAGCAGGAGGGGGAGAAGGAAGAGGAGGAGCGAGGAGAAGAGAAACGAGAGGAAGAGAAACGAGTAGGAGCGAGGAGGAGAGGAGGAGGAGAGAGGAAGGAACGAGGAGGAGAGGAGGAGGAGGAGGAGGAGGAGGAGGGAAGAAGGAGCAAGAAGAGGAGGAGGAGGACAAGGATGATGATGATGATGATGATGATGATGATGATGAGGGAGGAGGAGGAGGAGGAGGGGGAGGAGGAGGAGGAGGAGGTGAGGAGGAGGAGGAGGGAGGAGGAGGAGTGACCGGAAGGAGGAGACGAAGGAGAGGAGGAGGAGGAAATGGAGAGGGGAGGAGGAGGAGGAGGAGGAGGAGGAGGAGTGACGAAGGAGGAAACGAGGAGGAGATGGAGGAGGAGGAGGAGGAGGAGGAGGAGCTAGGAGGAGGAAGAGGGAGGAGGAGCAAGGAGGAGGAGAAGAGGAGGAGGAGGAGGAGGAGCAAGGAGGAGGAGGAAGAGGAGGAGGAGGAGGAGGACGAGGAGGAGGAGGAGGAGGAAGAGGAGGAGCAGGGCGGGGGGAGAAACGCGCACCTCTCAGGCCCCTTTTGGGCCCAAGGGGGGGGGGGGGGCCTTCAGGGCACCAAAGGGTGCACCTTTCTTTGCCCCTCCCGTAAATATCGCCCCTCCATTTACGAAACGCCCAACGTGCCCTGGCCCGCACAACTCCAGCCGGGGCCTAGTCTCACCGGCGACCGGGTGGCTCAGGCTTGCTCTTACGCTGCGAGGACGGCCCCCCCTCCTCCGTCGCCCCATGAGCAGAGGTTGCGCTCGCTGCCCCTCGGCGAACTTCAGATCACACCTGCTCTCGAAGCCACTTCCCAGCCCACAGGTGGGACGCTCAAGGGCACACTAGCACCACACGTCCTGCTGGGAGGCGTGCGCCCGACCCGAACATCTATTGAGCAGGAACCGACCGTCCCGGCATTCTTATAGTCATACCACGAAATGTTCTTAGAACCGCTGCTTGAATACAACACAAACATTTTGTAATACATCGTCTCCCCAGCGGCATCGCCAGAAAGAACGCCCGCCACGGAGCCTATTCTGTCAGACTCCTCGGCGCGCGCGCCGCCCTCGGGGGGCCGGGCGGCGCACACGCACCGTCGCCCCGCTTGCCCTCGACGCGCCCACGTGGACGACGCCGACACCACCGCAAACCCATGGTGAGACCTGCGTCCCGCGCCCCGAGCAGACGACGCCGGCGCCGCGGCAGAACTCCCGCGGCGAGCCCGCGGCGCCCGAAGCCGCGTTTGCCCCAGGGTGGCCCAGGGCGCCCTGCCCGAGATGCGAGGCCGAGGGGCCGGAACAAACGGCGCGGCGACTCGGAGTAAGAAAGGGGAGGGCGAAGAGGAGGAGAAGGAGGAGGAGGTCCTTTCGGGAGGGGAGGGCGCCGAACAAAACTCCGGGCAGGGCTCGAGGCGGCACCGCGGGCATGAGGCCTTCGCCGCGCCCCCATCGCTCCTGGCGCAGGCGCGTGCCCTCCCTGGGAGATTCTTGCGCCCGGGCCCTCCCAGGCCACGCTCAAAAGCCGCGAGACGCGACGCCTGGCCTTTCGCCCAGTACAGCCAGGGCACTACCATAAGGAACGCGAGATAATAAGGAACGCAGACTCTTTTTAGCCCAAGAAGCGCCTACTGGGCTCTAACAGAAGTGTCCTTGGAAACTCGCAGTACAAAGTCTATACCTGTACACCCATCGGCGAGAGGAGTTGTCGCGCGCGCGCGTGCTGAGCGCTCGCGCGCGCAAGATCCCAAGACGTCCTCATGGACACAAAATGGTTCCAGGAGGGCCTGAGGCCGAAGGCGAGAATGTCCAGCCAATCCTGGGATGACACCACCCCAACACGATCCCACCATGGATTCTGGACCGTCTCAAGCCGATTCGAAGATGACCAAACACATGAGCCACGACTGACGCCGAGATGGCCCGATGGCAACAAAATGGATCCACGCGCGCCCAGGGTGGCCCCAGAATGGACATGCGACGGCTGCGCGGTCCAAGCATGACCGAGAGATGATCTCAAAATGACTCCAAAACGACCCTGACACGCCAAGAACGCTGCAACTTCGGAGCCCCAACTTATATTTCGAGCCGACCCCAGCATGGCGGGATCCGTGCACGGCCCGGGATACTTGTTGACCCTATGATTAACGGGTGGGACTTTAACCTGGCTGGACTAAACTTAGACTTTTTAAGGGGAGCAAGTTAGGCGGGATCCCGCCAGGCCCACGACAGAAGACTACATTGCTAGGCTTCTACGGAGAGTACAGTCGGGGCGTTGACCTCAGGAACCCTAGATAAGGAACGAGGCCCCTATTTTCCATAAGTTAAACTTCGATTCCATATCGAAAACCTAAGGAACACCTAAGGCAAGCTGCGAAACAATTAAGGAACACGGAGCCTCTCCCCAATGAAAAGGGTTCCTTCTTCAGCGCCCCGGCTGTAAGGGGGTTCGGACGGGGTGCCATTTGCACCCGCTGTCTTCCGCCAGCCTTCCGACGGCCTTCCGCCGTCTTCCGCCTCGTTTTACTTCCGCCGGCTTCCGCGAGCGAGCGATGTGACGAAACTTCAGGGAACTTTCATTGGGCCCATGTAGGCGCACGAGGGGTGATAGAGGAGCAGCCATGGAAGAGCTTACAGAACAGCGAGCCCCTTTCCGAACCCAAAGCGGTCCTTATTTCAGCGATTTGGCTGTGTGCTGCCCCCGGGAGTCACGACATGCGAGCCATGACCTTATGCGACGTAAGACTCGGGTTCTGGGGACTCGGGTTGGCCTGGCGAGGCCGTCAAGAAAATGACGAGACCCAGTCTGAAACTTGACGCGGCCTCCCGATGTAGACGTCCCCCTCGTCAAATATTTTGCTTCGAGCGATCCCCGCCGAAACCTTCGGTGTTCGGTCCCAACGGTGCGCGCGCCCACTGGAAGGATGTGCGCAGTGCCCGGCGTTCCTGTACCCAAAAGCGTTGGACCGTACTCCATGGAGTAACTCTCTAACATGTTATGCTCCATTATGTCTATTCATGTTATCGACGGGCCGACGTGACGTCAGACGCCTGGGCGACACCGTCGAGTTGCTGCTACTGTATACTTGATGTTGTGCTGAAGTGTGTGTGTGTGTGTGGGGGGGGGGGGGGGGGTAGGATTCTGCCCCGATGTAGAATGTGACGCTGTGCTCTCTGATCTTATAACACGACGGGCCGGCGTGACGTCGTGACGCCTGTCACGCTAGAGACATCGTCTTATCGCTCATTGATGTGACTCGTGATTCCTGTGGCGACGCTGACCAAAATGCAGGTACGGTGTATTATGTTACGAAATCCCTCTGTCCTTCCGTTATCTCATTCGTGAAATGATGCTCTGTCATGCACGCTTCTACCTCAATATGCGTTGGTACGTCATGTTATACTCTGCCCTTTGGCACCATGTTAGAGCATGGTCTGTTAATATGATATGTTGCGTCACGGTGTTGCCGGCTCGGCTCAATATAGTAAAGTATATGCGTTAACATGTTTTGCCATGTCCTGTTCTGTCGTGGTACTCCTGTCCTCCACTGCACGACTGCCGTTTCTGTATTTAGAAACGGTTCAACCGTGTTCCATGTTGCAACAATCTTTCATGTTATGCTCTATCATGTCCTCTTCTGTTGTCGACGGGCTGGCGTGACGTCACGACGCCTGTGACGTTAGATAAGCCGTCTGTTGTGATGCCCCTCTTCATCTATATGTTTCTCTTCTGGTTGAATATGCTGTGTTATGCTCATATATGTCACCATATGGTTGGAGATGCTATGGAATGATCTGCGATGCGGCACTATGTTTTTGCATTACATGTTGACGTATTATATTACAGTATGCTCTATTCCGTGATGCTGTTGACGGCTCGGCTCAATATACTATCTTATGATCTGCCCTGCTAGTGTGTTTTGCAAGGCTCGGGTGCCGTGTTATGCTATGCTATGTGATGTTGTGCCATGGTATGATGTGTCCTGCCATAATGTGTTGTGTTATGCTCGGTTGTATTATGTTATGTTGGGTTATGTCGTCGTCTGTTCTGCCATGCGATGTTCTGGTATGGTATGTGATGTTGTGTTTGTGGACGACTCGGCACAATATTATGTATTATGACCTGCTATGCTAATATGAAGCACTATGCTACACTGTCGTGTTATGATTTGTTCCGCGATGAAATGCAATGATACGGGATGTTTTCCGAAGGTGTCTTATGTGTTCCTCGGTTATGCCATGTTAGGTTGTGTTATGCCGCCTTCTGTTCTACCGTGCATGTTATGATGTGTTATTCGAGGTTCTATCATACTCTTGTTGTCATGATGTTGCTATGGTATCTTTCATGCGATGACATGCTCTTGTTTTGCTATGTTATATTATGGTGTGAAATGTTGTGTTCTGGCAAGTTCACCGCTATGCTCTGCTGTCGTCTTATGAGATGTTTGGCGACGCTGTGTCATGACATGATCTGGTATGTCAATGTGACTTATGCTATCTTCGATTATGGTATAGTATGTGTTGTTTTGTCGTGGTATGTTATGTCATGTTATGCTCTGGTATGTTATGTGACATGCTGGTGTCCTCTACTTTGTCCTGATAGTGATATGTTATGTTCTGCCATGTTCTGTCATGCTCTTGCTCTGTTCTGTCGTGTTTTGTTGTGTCATACTGTGTACTGTCGTATTTGTCGAGGGCGCGAGGCGGGATACCTGGGAATCTCGGGACAATTTTGGGTCTGGCGGCCGCGGTATGCAGGGTGTGTTCTGTCGTGTTAAGAGGGGGCGTGGAGGGATAACCGAGACTCTCAGGACAACTTGGGGTCTGGCGGCCGCGGTATGCGGGGTGTTTTCTGTCGTGCTTGTCGAGGGCGCGAGGCGGGATAACCAGGACACTCGGGACAACTTGGGGTCTGGCGGCCGCGGTATGCAGGGAATGTTCTGTCGTGTTTGTCAAAGGCGCGAGGCGGGATACCCAGGACACTCGGGACAACTTGGGGTCTGGCGGCCGCGGTATGCAGGGTGTGTTCTGTCGTGTTTGTCGAAGGCGCGAGGCGGGATAACCAGGACACTCGGGACAACTTGGGGTCTGGCGGCCGCGGTATGCAGGGTGGGAGTGGCCGGGATGTCTGTTCTTAAAATCTAACGACCCCAACCTGTCCAGTGGGGAAAGAAGTAGGGCACAACCGAGTTCCGGCGAACTCGAGCCATACATTTTCCCGATCTTTCCCAGGGACGTGGTTTCCATCCTGCGTCGTGTCTTGACGGCCCCAGGGCCCGCCTGGTAAGGGTCCCCGGGGACCGAACACTGTGAAAAGCCTCGGTCCTGCTTTTGTTCAAGCCGCTGCATGTCTGGGTATGTACCTCCTCACCGCTCCTCGCGTGGGCGTTGGTGTGGGCGTGGGCGTGGGCGTGGCTGTGGTGGTGGGCGTGGGCGTGGGCGTGGGTGTGGGCGTGGGCGTGGGTGACTGGGTGTGGGCGTGAGCGTGAGCGTGGGCGTGGGCGTGGGCGTGGGCGTGGGCCTTGGCGTGGGCGTGAGCGCGTGTGTGGGTGTGGGCGTGGGCGTGGGTGTGGGTGTGGGCGTGGGCGTGGGCGAGGGCGTGGGCATTCCTCTGGACCGCGCCCCTCCCCGCGGAGAGGCAGCGAGGCAGCGAGGCCGCCTCCTCCGCGGCCTTCTGCTCGGTGGGCTCCTCGGCCTCCCCCTCCGCGACCGGGGGCTGGATCTCCTGCCCGCCCCACACCGGGCTGTGGCTCTCGCGTGGGCAGAGCGACGATACTCGTTCGACTCGTGCACAGATGCTTGCCGTCGCTCGGACGTCCATTTCCCGTGCATTTTTCGGTTTCGTGCGTATTTGTTTAGCTCGATGGTCCAGGATGGTCCTTGATGGTTCTCGCCGAGAAAACATGCACACGTCCGAGCGATGCCGAGGATAGGAGAAGAAGCGGCTGCACAAACCTGAACTTTTTCGGAGGGCCGAGCGGACTTCTTGGATCGGCGATGCCCCGGGGGAAGGGGGGCATTGCCCCCCTTCCCACGCCCTGGCACGCCAGGGGCGGCGCCAGCGACGCCGCGGGCCCCGGCGCGGATCCGAGAAAAATCCGCGCGGGGCTCCGAAAGTTCGCCTCTCTGATGATATTCACTCCACGGCCCGCTTGCCGGGCTGGCCATGGTTCAGCAGACACAGCATGTACAAGAGACACGCCTTGACGATGCACCCAGATGCAGCGCGTTGACAAAAACATGACGGACGTTTTTCGTCGTTTTCAGTCTCTGGGGGTCCTTAGCAGGCCCTTGGACCGTCAAAAAACGACTCAGGGTGAAAAACCAGCCCTGGGGAAAGGTTAGGAACTACTTCAGGGGACTAAGGCTGACAAAAAACAGGGCATGGCAAGTCTCGGTGATTCAGCCTGTCCTTGTGAAGTCGTGAAGCCACGCGATACCAGACGCTGCGGTGGGGGAGGAGGAGGAGGAGGAGGAGGAGGAGGAGGAGGAGGAGGAGGAGGAGGAGGAGGAGGTGGAGGAGGAGGAGGAGGAGGAGGCGGAGGAGGAGGAGGCGGAGGAGGAGGAGGCGGAGGAGGAGGAGGAGGTGAAGGAGGAGGAGGAGGAGGAGCAGCAGGAGGAGGGGGAGGAGGCCCCCTCGGTGGCTCAGCGGCCCTTCCGAATCAACTTCAGGGCATCGCCTTACACGCTAGGATAGCAAGGGGCCGCGAGGGGCCACTTGGGGCGCCCGAATCGACGCCAGGGCCACTGCAGGCACGGCGGCTCCGAACCGACTCCGCGATCTACGGCGGCCACCGGACATGGTGGCCACCGGACCGAGGGTCACCAGTGACCACGCGGCGCACCGAGGGCCACGGCCGAGGCATGTCCGCCGAAGCGAATCGCGGAGGCCGCACCCCAGCTTTTTGTCTTGCCCAAGCGAGCGACGAGCGCGGCACGCTGCACTGGAAACGAAGGCGCTCACGCGCGACCTTGCGCGAGCAGCTCACGCGCGAGTGCCGGCACAGTCGAGCCCGTTTTGTTTGCGTCGCTCCTGTGACTGCCAGAGGCGCCCTCTCTCGGCGGTGGACAAACCTCCCTTTAGTAAACCTCCCTTTAGTGAAAACGGCCTGGGACCGAAACCGACCTGGACTCGCGAAAATAACGGCCGCGACGCCTCTCGCGAATCGAAACCGGCCAATTCACTAATCGACGTGTCAGGGTAGGAGGTCTATCAATCTCCGACTCTCCAGGGCAGCAGGAAGAGAAGCCCAAGCCCGAGGACCCGCTGGAGCGGCACTGGGACCCGCCGTCCTTAAAAAAGCACGCAGCATCGCAAACCGAACCAAACCGAACAAAACAAAATCACCACTGGAGCCCCGCGCCGCACCTTTCTGCCGTCCCGATCGACATCTGTCATGGTCCCGGGGTCCGATGCCGGGCGAGAGAGCCTTGTGATGGGGAACGATGCTGATGCAGCTGCTCCCCGGACCTCTTCCGGGGTGCGTTCTGACCAGGATTTCGGGGCGCGAATCCAGCGGTGGCGACGAGGGCCTCCCGGGAGGCCCCCAAAGGCGAAGACGAGTGAAGGGTAGCGGTATGAGTACCTTTTGCTCCGAGGTGAGGTGCGAAAGGACTGCAACGCCAGGCTCTCAGGCAAGCCGCGAGCGAGACGTGGCCAAACGTCGGCGAGAGTTATGTTGTTCCCATCGTGCGTAAGGGTCACACCCCAGAAATAATTCCGAGCAGCCCCAAAAAACGCAACGGTGTCTGCCCGACACGCTAGCGAAGTGCCGAACGAGTATCACCTCCCAGGGCCCGACACGTGCAACAACACTCCAGTCTTGGAGCTCAATTTGGTGCTCGACACTCTTTCTGGTGGCCGAGGCTGGAATAGATTGGAGCACCGCAAGGCTCGGCGGGGGGGGCGGGGCCCGGGGGGGGTGGGGTGGGTGGGGGGGGGGGGGCGGGGGGGGGGGGGGCGGCGAGCGGCTGGGGGGGAGTTGAGAGTGGCGGCTTCTTCGGAAGGCTTCGAAGTTCCCCGCCTTCTGAAAAGTTGTTCAAGCTTTCCCACGGCACAGACAACAACCTCTCAGAGGCCGCGAGGGCTTCTCGAAGCCGCGCCGACTCTGAGAAGGACTTGTATCATTCTCATTCTTCACCCTCGATCGCCGCCGATGCTGGGAGTCTCTCTCTTTTTTTTTTTTTTCTTTTTTTACTTTTTGGGGGAGGAGGATGAGGGGGAAGAGGACTAGGAGGGGGAGGAAAGGAGGAGGAGGAGGAGGAGGAGGAGGAGGAGGAGGAGGAGGAGGGAGGAGGAGGAGGAGGA